CCGTGACCTTGCTTCCCATAGGGCCTCTCTGTGCTCATTGTGGCCATCCACATCCTGGAGCTGCTCATCGATGAGGCTGCCATGCCCCGGGGCATGCAGGTACTGGGCTGCATATCTTTTGGGGAGGGCTTAAGAAAGGCTGGGGTGAGAGACCGAAACTGAGGCCAGAGGGAAGGCTGGGTGCTGGGTGTTGGGTGGTGCTCCTGATTGGGAGTGTTCCATAGTGACACCACTCCATCTCTCAGGATGCCTCCCTGGGCCAGGTCTCTTTCTCCAAGCTGGGCTCCTTTGGTGCCGTCATTCAGGTTGTACTCATCTTGTATCCTTCTGGAAATCCACTATTGCCTCTGTTCACTGAACCTGTCTCCTGGGACTGTGGTGGGAATGATGGGGAAGGGGGCAAGTCTTCACCCACCTTGGGGTTCAGGAAGAAGGAAAAGACTTCATTTGAAAGGAGGTTTAGGGGAGAGGTCCATTCTCTTTGAGATGAGGCATTAATCCTTGGGGGCTGGCCAGTTCTTCCTTAACCTAGTGGGAGTTACCTGATGGTATCCTCAGTCGTGGGATTCTACAGCTCTCCTTTCTTCCGGAGCCTGCGGCCCAGGTGGCACGACACAGCCATGACGCAGGTAGCTGTGCGGGAATAAAGGAAGCCTCCTGGGGGCAGCATGGATGCTAGGTGCTGGCAGCTCTGCTACCCTCACCTCCCCTTTCCTTACTCCCACCTAGATAATTGGGAACTGTGTTTGTCTCCTGGTCCTAAGCTCAGCACTTCCTGTCTTTTCTCGAACCCTGGGTAAGTGGCAAAAGGAGGTAAGGGAATTGGCTTTTCTGAGTACCTACTGGTGCTAAGCATACATTTTATATACATACTCTCTTTAATCCCCACAACAAACCTATGTGGAGGTATTACCCCCATTATATAGATGGAGAAATTGAGGCTCTGTAAAATGCCTGTGTTGAGCTTCAGAATAGTGTTGCTTCAAAGCTCATACTTTTCCATTAGGTGTATCCCACACCCTCCCCTATTTACTTTCATTTTTTTGGTGGAGAAGCACCACTTTCCCCCAAATCTTCGTCTGAGCTGGATCCTCTAATAAACATTCTCATTTTATAAAGACAAGAAACGGAGAAGCTAATCAATTTACCTAGTTATATAGCTCACTTGAAGCAAGGCCAAGTCAGGCTAGAACCCTTGTCTCTTAAACACGAGTCCAGTGCTTTTTCCGCACACTGGGACATCAGATAATACACTCAGTCCTTCTCCCATCTTTAGAGCTATCATCTAGAGTTGCCTGGTAAAAATGTTCAAAAGTGTAATAGTTCTCCCCAGGGTAGTATGGGAGCTCCCCCTTCACCACATCATGAACCATCAGCTCTGTTTGGTTCTTCAGTCATACTGTCTCCACTGTGCCATTGTCCTTATGCCCTGGGGATTCAGTAGGAAACTAGGCTTGTGGGTCCGCTAGTTCATTCCTTTAGGTCGGATGCAGGTAAGAATATTTTTGAAGTGGGGGATGGCCCCAAAATTTGGACTTGTGATGACATTATTATGATGATTAAGGAGTCAAGTGTCAAAATAGTGCCTGGCACATATAGTGCTTTATATGTGTTGTTTCATTTCATTCTCACAGTCCCATTATTTTCTCTATAGTTAAGGAAACCTAGGCACAAAAATTTATGGAAGCTGCTGCAGATCACACAATTAGTTAGGGGTGGAGTTTGGATCTGAACCAAAGCAGCCTGATCAGAGTCGGAGCTCTTAGCCTCCACACTGGGTGACCAGCTTTTAGGTTCCTGGCCCAGGAACAAGTAGCAGGCCCAGGGAGCTCCTCGGGACACATGGAGCCAGAAGGGGTGCCCCACTGGAGGAGAAGATGCTGAACTCTGGAAGGGAAGTTGGAGCAAGCCTAGCTGCTGACACTCTCTTCAACAGCCATAACTCCCTCTGAGACAAGCTGGGAAGTAGGAATAACTAATACATTGGAAAGGCCAATCTATCAATTGCACTGTTGAGATGTGGCCACTAGGAGGCAGCAGAAAACTGGGCTCTGAGCCAGGGAGGAGCTGGGGAGCCCACTCCGATGCTGGCCTTTGTACTTCAGGGCTCACTCGCTTTGACCTGCTGGGTGACTTTGGACGCTTCAACTGGCTGGGCAATTTCTACATCGTGTTCCTATACAACGCAGCCTTCGCGGGCCTCACCACTCTCTGTCTGGTGAAGACCTTTACCGCGGCTGTGCGGGCAGAGCTGATCCGGGCCTTTGGTGAGAGGGAATGGGGGTGCAGGCTAATGGGGTGGTTGTGAGGTGGGGCCCTCTGGAACCATGGTCATCCAAGCAGGAGAGATGGCATGCTCTCTGCTTTGTTTGTAATGTTCCTCATATACCCATTCTGTGGCTTGGTTGTCTTATCCCTGAGACTGGACCTATGCCCTGCTTTTGACTGCCCACCCTCCCTCTTCTCCAGGGCTGGACAGATTGCCATTGCCTGTCTCCGGTTTTCCCCGGGCATCTCGGAAGACCCAGCACCAATGACTTCCAGCTGGGGGTGGGAGGGAGAAAACTGGACACTGCCATCTGCTGCCCAGGCCTGGAGGGGCGCCCAGGGGTGGGTGGACCTTAGGACCTGGAATCTGAGAGGGTGGTAGAGGGGAGCTGAGCTGTCTGCACTGTTGCATAATCTGAGCCAGAGTTTGGGACCAAGCCCCCCTGCTTTTCCAAATTTAACTGTGGGCCTCAGCATGGGGTGGGGCTGGTGACTGGGTCTGGTTCCTGGTCCCAAATCTGTTTACACATCAATCTGCCTCACTGCTGTTCAGGGCCATGCCCGTAGCCATGTTTACATGATTTGATGTGCAATAGGGTGGGGTGGGGACGGGAGAAACTGAGCTGGAGGTAGACTTGGGAGGCAGATTGTCTCCCTTGCCTCTGGCCCAGCAGAGCCTAAACACTGTACTATCCTGGAGGGGCTTTGGACCATCAGAGAGACAAGGGCGTAGGGAAGAAGAGACCACAACCATCAGCAATAAAGTTGATCCCAGGGTTTGCTTTGGTTTTTTAAAGGGCCTGTCTTTGTGTCTGTTGAACAGTCTTATTCCCACCAATTCTGAGTCTACCAACTGAGAAAAACAGAGGGATCCTGCCTCCCATCCTTTCTCTTCTCCTCCATCTGCATTCTTAGTATCTTTTAGAGACTTGGGTCTAGTGTTAGGTCATACAATTAGGCAGTGGGAGACTCCTCCTCCTTTAGCCTTGCTTAAAGCTGGCTGGTCCCCTGACTCTTCCTTATACTCATGCCTTATTTCTGTGCCTTGGTTATTGGGGTTAGGTGGGCATTGGTGTAGGAATAGGATAACTTCCCCTATATGCACACAACATCCTCAGCCCTGTCCTCCCTAACTTGGGTTTGACCTAAAGTGAAGGAAGGCTGACTGACACGGGTTTGTGATTCTCAGAAAAGAACATAACTCCATCTTTCCGGAAGCTATCAGTGCCTAGAACACTGTGCAAGCATCCCTGCTGTGTTGGGGGTAGGGACAAAGTTTCTGCTCAAGGTGACACAGATTGTGCATTGTGCAACTTCTAGGGAGCACCAATCACCTTGTAGGCTTATATATAGTTACTACGACTGTTTTCTTGCAAATGGCAGTTAGGTGTCTGGAGGAAGGAACACTTTTTTCTAATGTACACAAAGTTGCTATAAGTGCTAGCCATGGGGCTGAGGGAGGGGGGATTATTGAACACCAAAAAAAGTGTGGATGCCACAAATACTTTGCTGAGCACCCTACTATAGGTCAGGTACTTAGCCATGGGGATTCATGGTAAACAGTTTTTGTATTTAAGAATTGCTTTGTCTCGTAAGGGTGACATAATTCTAATACCACAATGGTTGTCAGTTAATTACTGGTTCTCAGGGAAACAGGTGGGCAGTGTCAGGACATCAGGGAAGCCTTCTTAGAGAAAGTGATTTTTTTTTTTTTAAGATTTTATTTGACAGCACAAACAGAGGGAGTGGCAGGCAAAGGGAGAGGGAGAAGCAGCCCCACTTGGAGCAGGGAGCCCAATGTACAGCTCGATCCCAGGACCCTGGGATTATGACCTGAGCCAAAGGCAGATGCTTAACCGACTGAGCCACCCAGGTGCCCCAAGAAAGTGATTTCTAAACAATAATAGATTGGTGGGTGAAGTGTTGCAGGCCCAAAGCCTCTGAGATGAGACCTGAGTGGTGGGAAGCAGAGCCCCAGGGGGTTCAGAGAGGGAGAAAGCTAGAGAGGTGCCTAGATGGAAGGTAAAGGGAAGCGACCATTAGCCTATTAAAGACTATGACTTTAAGTACCCTCTGCCCTCCAGCAGCTTCCAACTGACAAGTTACGCATTTGAAAAGAAGCAGCCATTGGGTGGGTGTCTGGCGAGGAAGAGACAGGAGGCAGAAGTTTGAAGTCCAGAACCAAATTATAACTACAGAGATCTATCCCTGATTCTGGGGAAAGCTCTCAGCAGAAGGCTGCAAAGTTACCAAAGAAAATGGTCCCCTGGTACCCACCCCTTCCAGTCCAGGCTACTACTGCCAAGGAGGAGAGATGAAAGTGGGGGAAGTTTGGGGAGGACCACGAGAAGAAAGTCTCTGGTTGTATGCCCAAAGGGCTTGGTTGGCCTTGGGTAGAAACTGGAACGCATACTTCCTGGATGATAGCAGAGGACAATGGCCTGCCAGGATAGGCTTTGGGAGAGTAAAGATCCAATTCAAGTATCAGAGGAGGGTGGTTTGGTGCCAGGCTTAGGCTTGGAAGTAGAGGGATGCTTATCCAGGCAGCTTAAGACTGAAAAGCTCCTAGGATTTCTTAGACAGGTGCCTGCCTGGTTTCCAGGATGGGACACGCTTCAGTCGCGAAATGGACCAGCGGTGACCGGCTAGAGCCCCCGCCCCGGTGGGAGGGGGCGGGACGGTCCTGGGAGAAGGGCGGGGGGCGGGGCCAGGGGCCACTTAAGGCGGAGCTGGGGTGTTCTGGCAGCGCCGGAGCCGGGCAGCAGAGCCAGGCTGGGCTGGCTCTCACCCACGACCCCCCTTCCCTGCTATGATGGCCCGTCAGTAGCAGGTTCCAGACCCCCCGGGAGCATGTAGGCAGAGCTAGCGGCAGCCAGGTGCGCAGAGCCACCAGAGCTCTAGGGCACTCTGGGGGCAGCTCTGCCTGCTGCGCTCTGTGGTGCCTGGGGAAATGCCCAACTGACGGGCGAGCTGGTGAGGACAAGAACGTACCCTTTGGTCCGAGCCCTCTGCATCCATGGCGCTGCCGGCCAGGCTGATGCCCCTGTGCTGCTTGGCACTTCTGGCGCTGCCCGCCCAGAGTTGCGGGCCGGGCCGGGGGCCGGTTGGCCGGCGCCGCTACGTGCGCAAGCAGCTCGTGCCCCTGCTGTACAAGCAATTTGTGCCCAGCGTGCCCGAGCGGACCCTGGGCGCCAGTGGGCCTGCCGAGGGGAGAGTGGCAAGGGGCTCGGAGCGCTTCCGGGACCTGGTGCCCAACTACAACCCGGACATCATCTTCAAGGATGAGGAGAACAGTGGTGCAGACCGCCTGATGACCGAGGTAAGGAGGACCTCTCCCCACCTGTGCCAGGGCATTGCCAACTCCTGTGGCAGCCTGGGAGGGTAAGCTGGGCTTCATCCATAGAGACCTTAATCTCAAAGATCTCCTCTCCCTGCCCTTCCACCGCCCCCCCCCAAAACAACCCAAACCTGTGCTCACTGGGCTAAGTGATCAGGAGGGATCCCAACAGGGAGAAGCTGGAATGGGGAGGGGAGGAGGGACTAGTGAGAGTGAAGCTGGGAGAGACAGCGAGGGCGGGGAAAAGAGGATGGCGGCAGGCGAGACGGGAAATGGCTGAGGCGTGGACCGGGGGGTCAGCTACCGAGCCAGGCAGGAAGGGCTGGGGTGAGCTGGGGGCCAGGAGCTGGCTAGGCAGCAGACAGAAAGCTCTGCCCTTAGCCTGGCTCCTGACCTGATTGTGGAAAAGATCTGCGGGCTAAAGAGATTGAAGGAGGCTGGGAAAGGGGTGGCCAAGGGTTAGGTCACCAGGCCATCTACCTGAGAAGGGGCTGGGCAGGAATTGTCTTCAGCATGGGGGAGGCATCCTAGAACCAAGGCAAAACTATTCTAGAGTCTAAACGACTGTTTTGGGTGAAAAGTAGTACTCAATGGGAAGAACAGATGGGCCCACCTGAGAATCAAAGTGTTCCTGCATCCCTCAAGCTCAGCTTAGCTCAGGAGTTTTCCTTGGAATTAAAGAATTAAATTCAACTAGCATGTATCAAGCATCTGCTGCAGACTGGAACCTAATTGACCTAGGATAAGGTGAGCAATGCCTTGGGAGTGAAGGACCACCTCTGGCCAATGACCTCAAATGTCAGACCTGGAATGAAACTTGGAAATCACATTCTTTCACCTCCTCGCTTCAATTTTGCAGCTGAGAGCTGGGCCCCAAGAGGAAAAGTGATTTAATCAAAGTCTTAAAACTAATTAGTGGCATGGCTGGGACTAGAATTCAGGACTCCTGATTCTAAGTCTATACACTTTCCATTACACCACCTAATTGTGTATGGAGTGGGGAGGTGGGGGGAGAGGGAGGGGTACGGATTTCCTCCGATTAATTGCCATAGTTTTCCAGGTTACTTTGTTAGGAAAACCTGTCCAGGGGAGAAAGAATTCCTTCTACTACTACTCAGAGATTGGGACGGAGACACTCCTTGGTCATGGAATATTGTGGCCCTTTCCCCTGTCTGGCACCTGCAGCAGAGGGGCCAGAACAAGGGACAGGCCCAGGAGGGGCTCTGACAAGGCCTGGGAACCCCTCGGTCCTGCTTATCTCCCACACCCTGGCTGCAAAAGGCCTCCATTGAGTTGGCTCTGCACTGGGCTGCTGCCCCCGCAGGTCAAGGCCGCAGGGCCTCCTTAGGGGACAAAACGACAAAAAGTTGGAAGGAGTTACCACTTTTCCTGTCTTCCCCTCCCCTCCTCTCCAACCCTGCGGAGGTGTAGAAAACTCGGGAAGAAGGGAAGGAGGAAAGTGCCCCTCTGGCACTTAGGAGAAAACCAAGCCTGAGGTGAGAGGTCGGAGCGGGGAGAAGAAAAGGAAACTGTCCTCCCTGCGCCTCCTCCCGCCGCGTCCGTGCTATGGTGCGCGCCAAGGTCTCCGGCTCCCAGACTAGAGCCGCCCAGATAACCGTGGTCTCACTCCCCCGGGTGCAGGCTTCCAGCCACCGCTGCTTTTCCTCCTCTCCACTCCCACCCTGCAGGGGGCCCCCCAGTTCCGCGCAAGGGCAGCTCCCGTTAATCTCAGGTGCTACTCCCACGCCTTTCTGGGCTGCATCTGGAACAGAGATGGAGAGACCGGGGCTCAGGGCTGGCAGAGCCTGAGATCGAATTGGGAGGGCTGGTCGCGCTGGGGGAGGGGCCCGGCGGGCAGGAGCAGGGATGGGGGGCGCGGCTTTCTGCCCTTTCCTCTCCCCGAGCCGGGGCGGCTGAAAAGCGCCTTTGTGGATGGAGCTGCTGAGTCCGCTTCTCCCGGCGAGTCCCCGGCCTCGGCCCGGGATTCTCGCTCGGTTAAGTCATCCCGGAGAATGGCCATTGTACTTCGCGCAGCCCCCGCCACCCAAACCCTTTTTCCAGCAGCCTCGATCCCGCACCGCTCCGCTTGGGCACCTCTGTGGGGGGCACTCGCACCACGAAGGGGTTAATGCTAGGGGCCAAAAGGAGGAGGAGGAGGAAGGAAGGAAGGAAGCGATGCCCGGTGCCAGGGAAGGCAACGAAACAAAAGATGAATCAGGCGGAGGGAGGGCAGCCCGGGCTTGGGGCGGGGGCCAGGCTCAAACAGGGGCTCCTCTCGGGGAGCCAGGCTGCTCAACCCCTCCCTGACAGAGCTTCCACCCACCCTCTCAACTCTTGCCCTCTTCCAGGTTGAGCCGAGGTCCCAAAACGAGTGAGGGGCGGGCGTCGAAAGAGGGGAAAGAGTTAGGTATGGGCACACCCTCTTAATCTCTGAGGTGACCCCACAGTTCTCCCACAACGCTCTGGAAAGGGAGTGCATATTGGCGACTACACCTCTTTGGATTCTCACTTCCCCAGGACATTTCAAAAGCTGGGAGGGAGTGGTGTGGGGCCAGGAAAACAAAGAAGAATCGGCCCTCCCTTCCAGGTCCCTTTTGCCCCTGCGGTGGGAGTGGTAGTGAGGAGACTGACTCCTTTATTCCCCGCCAGCGCTGTAAGGAGCGGGTGAACGCTTTGGCCATTGCCGTGATGAACATGTGGCCCGGAGTGCGCCTGCGGGTGACCGAGGGCTGGGACGAGGACGGCCACCATGCTCAGGACTCACTCCACTACGAAGGTCGTGCTTTGGACATCACCACGTCCGACCGCGACCGCAATAAGTATGGGTTGCTGGCGCGCCTGGCAGTGGAAGCCGGCTTCGACTGGGTCTACTACGAGTCCCGCAACCACGTCCACGTGTCGGTCAAAGCCGGTACAGTAGGGGATGGGTGGTGAGGTCCGCCCAAAGGGGGCTCCTTCCGGGAAACTGAGGCTGCACAGCTCTGGTGCGACCCTAGGGGAGACCAAGTGGGCGTTAGTGTTGTAAACCATCCTTCCATTTCTGCCCAGGTTGGGGCCAGATCCGTGGGAAATTACATGTCCCAGGACTGGCGAGGTCTGCTCTGGGCTTGACCCACATCTTTGAGAATCTGTACCAACATCCTGGAACCGCTGGTCTTGATTCAATCATCGCTGTGCTTGTGCCCTGCAGATAACTCACTGGCTGTCAGGGCAGGCGGCTGCTTTCCGGGAAATGCCACCGTGCGCCTGCGGAGCGGCGAGCGGAAGGGGCTTCGGGAACTGCACCGCGGAGACTGGGTGTTGGCGGCAGACGCGGCAGGCCGGGTGGTGCCCACGCCCGTTCTGCTCTTCCTGGACCGGGACTTGCAGCGCCGGGCCTCTTTCGTGGCTGTGGAGACCGAGCGGCCCCCGCGCAAGCTGTTGCTCACGCCCTGGCACCTGGTGTTCGCTGCTCGAGGGCCAGCGCCCGCACCAGGCGACTTTGCACCGGTGTTCGCGCGCCGGCTGCGCGCGGGGGACTCGGTGCTGGCGCCCGGCGGGGACGCGCTTCGGCCGGCGCGCGTGGCCCGCGTGGCGCGGGAGGAAGCCGTGGGCGTGTTCGCGCCGCTCACAGCACACGGGACGCTACTGGTCAACGACGTCCTGGCCTCGTGCTACGCGGTTCTGGAGAGTCACCAGTGGGCGCACCGCGCCTTCGCTCCTTTGCGCCTGCTACACGCGCTGGGGGCGCTGCTTCCGGGCGGGGCGGTCCAGCCGACCGGCATGCACTGGTACTCTCGGTTCCTCTATCGCTTGGCGGAGGAGCTCCTGGGCTGAGTGCGTCGCACATAGAAACCTCGAGGCGCCTGCTGAAACCCGGGGGTGCGGGCTGAGATCTGGGGATGTGGGCAGCAGAGGATGCTGACTCGAGGTGGAGGGAGGGGATAGGGAGAAAAATGGAGGCGAGACTGGACTGCTTGGTTTAGGGGCAACCTCCACCTGAGAGGAGATCCCTGGTCCTAGGTAGATGGGGTTGACGGTGGATACTCCTTGAGGAGAACTATTTGGCCTCTTCTTCCCGAGTACCTCAGCCCCACCCGGTTATTTTATTTTATTTTCTATTTATGAATTGTAATATAATGATCTGCTTGCCCCGCCTGGCAAGGCGAGGGGCCAGGGCATGGCGTTAACACTGTTTGACACAGCCAGCCAATCTGACGTCTGACATTTTCCTACAGGCGGGCTAATAAAGGGAAGGCTTGCAGGAGCTTATTGGAAAATGTCTCTATTCTGAGGGTGATTCACCTCCAGAGGAGGGGAGAAGGGGACCAACTCTGAGTCAATACTTTACTTCCGACTCCTCCCTGCTTGCCCAGCAGGTCTTCCTGCCTGCTTCCTCCCCTCAGGGGGGGCATCCCAATTGATCAGCAACGGAGACCAGAAGAGTCGTGCCCTTTTCTAGGCTGCTGGTCCCTTCTCCCACCCAGAAAGGACCAGCATTCTGCCTGCATGGTTGTATGCAGAATGTTGGAGGGGCCAGGGTTGTTGAAGGAGCAAGAGGGTCCTCGTGTGTCCTTTCTCGTTTATAGAGGCTCCAGCGAGGTCTCAGGCCATTGCATTACTGATAGTCGGAGAATTCTGCTCCCTGATTGTTAGCCTGCCATCCTGGGCCCTCCATGAAGGCCATGAATCTGCCTAGTTCCCATCCTACCCTGGTGTCAGGATCTGAATGGGGGTGATGTTTTATTCTGGGATGTCACTGGACTAACTGATGACCCTTGGGAATCCCTAGCTAATTTGTAACTGATAGTACCCACACACTCTTGGTCAAGAGAAAGAACGGGAACAGAGGGCTGGAACCTATCTCTCCTGAAGGGCTGTGGGCAGAGAACAGCTTCAAGCCCTGGTGTGTGTGTTTAGGGGGAGATGGGTAGGCTCTCCAAGCAAGGGCATATAGGCATATAGGCATTACAGCTGGAGTCCTCTTCTTGACCGCCTGTCCTAGTTGTTGTTTCTCCTGGCTTCCTCCACCCCCACCCCCCACCCCCCTCTTGCCTCTCCCATTCTCCTGGCTCTGCTTCCCTGGCCTGGGTGTTCCTGGAACCTTCGGGTTCCAATGCAGCAGACAGGCAGGAACTCAGACAGTCAGGTGCCCCTGAGTTAGAATGGAAGCTCAGAGGAAGTTGAACTTCAGTGGAAGGGGAATGCCTGGGCTCAGGGGGAGATGGAGGGGTTTGGTGGTACCACCAAGGAGCCAGCCCTTGCCTGTAGCAGCTGTGCAGCTTCAGTCCACAGGGTCCCTGCTATACACCGCCCTCTGGTGGCCTTCAGGATCAGTTCTCTTCCAGACCAGAGGAAAGAGAACTATATACTGCAGGGATGGGTGGACTGGACCTGCGCAGAGGAGCCTTATCTCAGGAGGTGAGAGATGGTGGGTGTGGCTTGGTAAGCTGCCAGGGCTGAGCCACAGGTGTCAAGGTCTGGTGAGGAGCCCACACGCCTCTCCTTGTGAAAACTCATCCAAGCCTGGCATTTTTGCATCCTTTGTGCCTGGTTTAGCTTTGTGGCTCCCAGAAGCTGGAGGTATAGTCGTAGCCAGATTCTGTGCACCTCCAAGTTGCACCTTGTGACCCTTGAGTTCAGTGTCTGGAGATGAACGCATACTTAGGGTTCCAGGAAGTGCTTAATAAAGGCGAAGATTGGAAGCGGAATAAGTTTATCTTTAGGGTCCTTCCACCCACCATCTCCTTCAATCCGTACCAGGTACCTGTTGCCACCTCCCTCCCCCTTTCCTGATCTCATAATCCAAGCTGTGGATCTTTCCCAGAGCATGGCCTGGAAGTCAGGCAGACCTGCAGATACTGATGCCACCCCAAGAGGATTGTTGACGAGATCAGTGTCTGTCTGTGCCCAATGTGGGATAGGCACTCGGTCAAATGTTGTCTACGCTCTGCTCCCATTTCTCACTGCCTTTGCGGATTTCTGCTCTTTGTCTGCTTCTCTCCTCACCGCTCTGCTAGAAGCAAGATTTATCCATGGTTCCCAAATATTTTGGGGGTTGTGTTGCCCCTATACTTGTTTGATTTCATAACACTCCTTCAGAAGGTGCTGTGTGAAAGAGTGGGGCTTGCTTTAGAACTAAAGTCTAATTAAAAGTGATCTTGTTTTGAGAATTTACAGAGTATTTTGTGATAATCTTGGCAAGACCTCTCTGCATACTGGGAAACCAGAGTTGAGAACCACTGCCTCAAGGTTCAGTTGACCTTTTTAACCCCCCCGAATCCAGACTTTTTCCCCCCTTCCTCTCTTCAGGCCGAATTTACTGAACATCTAGAGTGTAGCACTGCATTAGGCATGAAAACTCAAAATATTAAGAAACTGCTTTCTCCATGGAGGAGTAGGCTTAAAGGTATAAGATGGGTAACTACCAAAGCAACGTTGTTACCTAATCAGGATGAGTTGAATGGGTGGAAAATGCCACATCAGTACAGAGAAAGCCTGTGGAGAAAGTAGGGCCTGGCTAGAATGTTGAAGCATGTAGGTGGAGGAGACCAGAGAGGGCATTCCAAGCAGAAGTAACAACATGAGCAGGCACTTGGATTCTGGAATGAAGATGTGCAGCCTGGCTAGAATGGGAGATCAGGGAGTGTAACTGTATGTAGCTATTGTTTCTTGAGAACTGACTACATGTCAGGCCCTGTGCTAGCTCTTTACATGCATTCTCACCTTTTCTCCTTACATAACCCTGTGGGATTCTATTACAGATGAGGACACCGAGGCAAAGACAGGTTTAAGTCTGTGGCTCAAGTTATTACAGCTAGTAAGTGGTAGACCTGGAGCAGGGATAATAAGAAATAAAACTGCTTTGATGGACAGGGCCACATCCTAGAGGGCCTTAAGTAGTTTCTGACTCGGTGCACCTGGGTGGCTTTGTCGGTTAAGCTTCCGACTCTTGGTTTTGGGGCTCAGGTCATGATCTCAAGGTTGTGGGATTGGGCCCTGTGTCAAGCTCCGAGCTCAGCAGGGAGTCTGATGGAGATTCTCTCTCCCTCGCCCTCTGCCTCTCACTCTCTCTCAAATAAGTCAATAAAAAGTTTTGGACTCTCATTCCCTTCAGGGAGTCACTAGTAAATCTTAGCTTTTTGACAGTTATTTCTCTCTCATTTTCACTGGCTCTTCTTTCTCCTGCCTTGATCGCTGGCTTCCTTAACTAAAGTTACCTAGCCAGTAAAGGAAATCCTCCAGATTAGAGGAGAGGGGAGACTGAGCTTCGTTATGGATTGAATATATGTGCCCCCTCCAAATTCATTCACACAAACCCTAACCCCTGTGTGGCTGTGTTTGGAGATGGGACTTCTAAGGAAGTAATTAAGGTCAAATGAAGTCATAAGAGTGGGGCCCTGATATGATAGGATTGGTGGCTTTATAAGAAGAGACACCAGGGGCGCCTGGGTGGCTCAGTCGTTAAGTGTCTGCCTTCAGCTCAGGTCATGATCCCAGGGTCCTGGGATGGAGCCCCGCATCCAGCTCCCTGCTTGGCGGGAAGCCTGCTTCTCCCTCTCCCTCTGCCGCTCCCCCTGCTTGTGATCTCTTTCTCTGTGCCAAATAGATAAATAAATAAATAAATAAATAAATAAATAAATAAATAAAATGTTTAAAAAGAAGAAGAAGAAGAAGAGACACCAGAAAGTTGCTTTCTGTCTCTTTGCATGCACCAAAGAAAGGGATGTAAAGACATCTTGAGAAGGCAGCCCTCTGCAGGCCAGGAAGAGAGTTCTCACCAGAAACCAAATTGGCCAGAACTTTGATCCTGGACTTTCCCAGCCTCCAAAACAGTGAGAAAATAAATGTTTGATGTCTAAGCCACCCAGTTGATGGTATTTTGTTATGACAGCTCTAGCAGACTAATACAGTCTTCCAGAAATGTGTGAAGTAAGACGAAGCCAGTGCTAAGATGGAGTCTTTATTTAGTGAAAATAATGAACTTTGAAAAGTGAGCATTTCTGACCTAGAGCCCTGACATGTTTATCTCTGACTGTACCTGTGAGGTCACTACTATACTGGAGGAAGCTTTCTGCTCTGGCTGGAAGACTGAAGCAGCTGTGTATGGGAAGAAGGCTATGGCTGGTCAGGGTATTTCCTTGTGGGGACTGTGTGGCCCGTCAGCACATTCAGACTCTCCTCTCCCTGTGACTGTCTATATGTGAATTGGTTGATGTATACACATGAACATCTCCCATTAGATGGGGGGATATTTTCAGTCAGATCTTACTGAGTGCCTATCTTGTGCCAAATACTGTTGATGTGCCGTGGGGAGAGGACAGTAAGTCAGGCATGGCTCTCACAGCTCACCCGGCAAGACGCAGTGGTCAGAAGGTTGTTGAGGACGGTGAAGGAGGTGAGGAGTGATACTGAAGCTGAGACCTGAAAGATGCGTAAGAGTTGTTCGAGCAGAGGTAACAACATAAACAAAGGCCTGGAGTCGGGGAGCAAGAGTAAATTGAACATCAATTCAAGAGTAAAGGCACATCAGTAAGTTCAGTTTAGTGAAAAGAAGGTGTGATATACTTTAAAGATTTTCAATTTTGTCCTGAAGATGAAAAGCAATTGTAGGATTTGAAGCAGTTGGCGGGGGTGGGGGTGGGGGAATCAAACTTGCATTTTAAAAAAGAAATTGGCACTTGGATGGGCTTTTTGGGTCATCTTTAGTCCCTAAGTAGGTTGGTCCTCCTCTGTGCATGTGAGTGTTGCTAGTTTTTTTTTTTTTAAGATTTTATTTATGTATCTGACAGAGAGAGACAGTGAGAGCGGGAACACAAGCAGGGGGAGAGGCAGAGGGAGAAGCAGGCTCCCTGCCAGCAGGGGGAGAGGCAGAGGGAGAAGCAGGCTCCCCGCTGAGCAGGGAGCCCACAGTGGGGCTCGATCCCAGGACCCCGGGATCATGACCTGAGCCGAAGGCAGACGCTTAACGGCTGAGCCACCCAGGCGCCCCCGAGTGTTGCTAGTTCTGATTGCAAGTAGCAAATGCCCCATCCCCACACTGTGTGTTACGGGAGCAGATGGTGGGGGACAGTGTGGGGGTACTGGAGCAGCGCATGATAGGATAGGGACAGATTTGAAGGTGATGCCTCCAGCCCTGGCTTTGCTTCTCCCTAAAACCCAAACCCAAGCTGTCTCTCAACTTCTCTCCTTGGGACCACATAACCTAAGACCATAGTTATTTGACTCCAAACCACATGGTGTCCAAACAGAAGTCCCTGGTACTGGGAACTCCTTTTTTGCTATTCTCTTTTGCTTTCCAGCCATTCTTCCCACAGAGTTTGGCTTAGTTTGGAGCTGATGGCCCTCAGCTGAGACAGAGCTGCCACCCCGAGAGCCGGGTCTGGGCTGAACGCTGCAGCTGCCCAGGAAACAGCTGGTTAAGCCCTTAGCAGCTGCAGCAGCTGGGATTCCACCCAAAATTTGAGCTGGGATTAAACCCATTTCCTCCACACACATCCCTTCCCTGTTCTAGCCCTTGGCTAGTCTGTAATATCTCCTAGAAGTTTTGAGACTAAATATCACAAGTCTCTCCATGAACTAAGCTGAAGCCAAAATCATCCACCTTCTTCTTGGAGGCAGCTGACCCAAAGCACCTTAGGACCATCACAGGAAGGAGGGTGTGGGTCTCTCTCATACCCAACCTCCTTTCTCTCATTCTCTCTATCCTTTGATAAACTGGCCAGGATGGATTATTCTTTAAATTGTCCAGTTTTCTTTTTTTTTTTAAGATTTTATTTATTTATTTGAGAGAGAGAATGAGATAGAGAGACAGCATGAGAGGGGAAAGGGTCAGAGGGAGAAGCAGACTCCCCGCTGAGCAGGGAGCCCGATGTGGGACTCGATCCCGGGACTCCAGGATCATGACCTGAGCCGAAGGCCGTCGCTCAACCAACTGAGCCACCCAGGCGCCCCTAAATTGTCCAGTTTTCAATAACCATTAGAATTGTCTAAAGAAGAAGGGGTTTCTTTGGCGGGGTGAGGAGGTAGATTTCCTTTATCTTGGAAAAACTCTATACCAAGACCTAGAAACTTGGTGGGAGTGTTATAGGAGGATCAAGAATCATATGGGTGGTTGTCACTTTTCAACCATGATTGCTTCTCACTTAACTGTGATTCTACACTTGCGAACAATAGGGCTGTATATTCTATTTGGTGCTTTTGCACCAGCTGTGTGACCTTGAGGAAATCACTTTGTAAGAGATGCCAGAGGCCACAATGAGGTACTTCCAAGAAGCTGGAGAGAAGGAGGTGCCCTGAGATTTGAACAAGGCAAATTAACACACAAAAGAACAAGGCATTTCCTCCCAGCCTCAGAGATTTGACTCCCTCCCTTCAACAAATATTTATTAGGCCCCTGCAAGTACTAATAGGCATTTTACTATGCTAAGGATTTTTAATGTTTTTCTAGAGAAACAGGCAGTCATTTGAATAGATTGAATTAATTTAATTAGGTTTTAGCTTTGTGGAATGACCTGATCAAATTTGGATTTTATTTTATTTATTTATTTGACAGAGAGACACGGCGAGAGAGGGAACACACAGCAGGGGGAGTGGGAGAGGGAGAAGCAGGCTTCCTGCAGAGCAGGGAGCCCGATGCGGGGCTCCATCCCGGGACCCCGGGATCATGACCTAAACTGAAGGCAGACGCTTAACGACTGAGCCACCCAGGCGCCCCTCAAATTTGGATTTTAAAAAGATCACTGTAGTTGCTGAGTGGAGAATGGACTAGAAGGGAGTTAGTGAGTCCAGGGAGGAGGGCAAAAGCAAAACGGCAAGTGCAGTGGTGCAGATGAGAGGTGATGCTGGTGAGATGGAGAGGTGGCAGTGGAGATGGAGAGAAAGGACAGTTGCAGGCAATATTTAAATTTGTGGGATGGATAGGACCTAGTGGTTGATAGGATGAAGTAGGGAAGGAGGGGGAGAAAAAGATTTCTTTCAATTTTAGCTGCGTGATATTAATGTATCTAGAATGAAAGGGTGCCTGGGTGGCTCAGTTGGTTGAGCATCTGACTCTTGATTTCGGCTCAGGTCATGATCTCAGAGTCGTGAGATGAAGCCCCTAGTCTGGATCTACGCTCAGCATGGAGTCGGCTTGAGATTCTCCCCCTCTGCCCCTCCCCTCCCCCACTCTCTCTCTCTCTCATTCTCTCTCAAAATAAATAAATATTTTTCCTTTTGTAAAGGATCTTATTTTTTAAAAAAGATTTTATTTATTTATTCATGAGAGACAGAGAAGAGGGAGAGAGAGAGAGAGAGAGGCAGAGGGAGAAGCAGGCTCCCAAGGAGCAGGGAGCCCGATGCGGGACTCGATCCCAGGACTCCGGGATCATGACCTGAGCCGAAGGCAGACACTTTAACCATCTGAGCCACCCAGGCACCCTAAAGGATTTTATTATTATTTTTTAATATTTTATTTATTTATTTGACAGAGAGACACAACCAGAGAGGGAACACAAGCAAGGGGAGTGGGAGAGGGAGAAGGCTTCCCGTGGAGTAGGGACCCCGATGTGGGACTCGATCCCAGGACTCCGGGATCATGACCTGAGCCGAAGGCAGACGCTTAACAACCGAGCCACCCAGTTGCCCCAGTAAATAAATCTTTAAAAATATAAAACGAGGGGCGCCTGGGTGGCTTAGTCGGTTAAGCGTCTGCCTTCGGCTCAGGTCATGATCTCAGGGTCCTGGGATCAAGCCCCACATCAGGCTCCCTGCTCCATGGGAAGCCTGCTTCTCCCTCTGCCCGCAGCTCCCCCTGCTTCTGTTCCCTCTCTCACTGTCTCCCTCTGTCAAATAAATAAATAAAATATTTTTTAAAAAATAAAATAAAATAAAATAAATAAAAATATAAAACGAAATGAAAGAGAAAGAAT